GATCCGAGTAGAGGAAGACACCTTTTATCACCAAAAAGTCATCCAACCCATAAATCCAAAATCATAAAAAAGTTCCCAAAAAAATTCAATTTTTCTTAGGCAGACTATTTTATTGCAATTTCTTGCATAAAACACACCTAAAAGTGTACAAAAAAATTGACAGCCCGATCCGAGAAGAGGAAGACACCTTTTACCACCAAAAAGTCATGCAACCCATAAATCCAAAATCATAAAAAAGTTCCCAAAAAAATTCAATTTTTCTTAGGCAGACTATTTTATTGCAATTTCTTGCATAAAACACACCTAAAAGTGTAGAAAAAAATTGATAGCCAAATACGAGTAGAGGAAGACACCTTTTACCACCAAAAAGTCATGCAACCCATAAATCCAAAATCATAAAAAAGTTCCCAAAAAAATTCAATTTTTCTTAGGCAGACTATTTTATTGCAATTTCTTGCATAAAACACACCTAAAAGTGTAGAAAAAAATTGATAGCCAAATACGAGTAGAGGAAGACACCTTTTACCACCAAAAAGTCATGCAACCCATAAATCCAAAATCATAAAAAAGTTCCCAAAAAAATTCAATTTTTCTTAGGCAGACTATTTTATTGCAATTACTTACATAAATCACACCTAAAAGTGTAGAAAAAAATTGACAGCCCTATCCAAGTAGAGGAAGACACCTTTTACCACCAAAAAGTCATCCAACCCATAAATCCAAAATCATAAAAAAGTTCCCAAAAAAATTCAATTTTTCTTAGGCAGACTATTTTATTGCAATTTCCTGCACGAAATACTGATAAAAGTGTAGAAAAAAATTGAGAGACAAATACGAGTAGAGGAAGCGACCTATTACCACCAAAAAGTCATCCAACCCATTAATCCAAAAACATAAAAAAGTTCCCAAAAAAATTCAATTTTTCTTAGGCAGACTATTTTATTGCAATTTCTTGCATAAAACACACCTAAAAGTGTAGAAAAAAATTGACAGCCCGATCCGAGTAGAGGAAGACACCTTTTACTACCAAAAAATCATCCAACCCATAAATCCAAAATCATAAAAAAGTTCCCAAAAAAATTCAATTTATCTTAGCAGACGATTTTAATGCAAATTCTTGCACAAAATACTCCTAAATGTGTAGAAAAAAAATGATAGCCAAATACGAGTAGAGGAAGACACATTTTACCACCAAACAGTCATCCAACCCAAAAATCCAAAATCATAAAAAAGTTCCCAAAAAAAAACAATTTTTCTTAGGCAGACTATTTTATTGCAATTTCTTGCATAAATCACACCTAAAAGTGTAGAAAAAAATTGACAGCCCTATCCGAGTAGAGGAAGACACCTTTTACCACCAAAAAGTCATGCAACCCATAAATCCAAAATCATAAAAAAGTTCCCAAAAAAATTCAATTTTTCTTAGGCAGACTATTTTATTGCAATTTCTTGCATAAATCACACCTAAAAGTGTAGAAAAAAATTGACAGCCCTATCCGAGTAGAGGAAGACACCTTTTACCACCAAAAAGTCATCCAACCCATAAATCCAAAATCTTAAAAAAGTTCCCAAAAAAATTCAATCTTTCTTAGGCAGACGATTTTAATGCAAATTCTTGCACAAAATACTCCTAAACGTGTAGAAAAAAATTAATAGCCAAATACGAGTAGAGGAAGACACCTTTTAGCACCAAAAAGTCATCCAACACATAAATCCAAAATCATAAAAAAGTTCCCAAAAAAATTCAATTTTTCTTAGGCAGACTATTTTATTGCAATTTCCTGCACGAAATACTGATAAAAGTGTAGAAAAAAATTGATAGCCAAATACGAGTAGAGGAAGACACCTTTTAGCACCAAAAAGTCATCCAACCCATAAATCCAAAATCATAAAAAAGTTCCCAAAAAAATATAATTTTTCTTAGGCAGACTATTTTATTGCAATTTCTTGCATAAAACACACCTAAAAGTGTACAAAAAAATTGACAGCCCGATCCGAGAAGAGGAAGACACCTTTTACCACCAAAAAGTCATGCAACCCATAAATCCAAAATCATAAAAAAGTTCCCAAAAAAATTCAATTTTTCTTAGGCAGACGATTTTAATGCAAATTCTTGCACAAAATACTCATCAAAGTGTAGAAAAAAATTGACAGACAAATACAAGTAGAGGAAGACACCTTTTAGCACCAAAAAGTCATCCAACACATAAATCTAAAATCATAAAAAAGTTCCCAAAAAAATTCAATCTTTCTTAGGCAGACGATTTTAATGCTAATTCTTGCACAAAATACTGATAAAAGTGGAGAAAAAAATTGACAGACAAATACGAGTAGAGGAAGACACCATTTACCACCAAAAATCATCCAACCCATAAATCCAAAATCATAAAAAAGTTCCCAAAAAAATTCAATTTTTCTTTGGCAGAATATTTTAATGCAAATTCTTGCACACAATTCTCCTAAAAGTGTAGAAAAAAATTGATAGCCAAATACGAGTAGAGGAAGACACCTTTTACCACCAAAAAGTCATGCAACCCATAAATCCAAAATCATAAAAAAGTTCCCAAAAAAATTCAATTTTTCTTAGGCAGACTATTTTATTGCAATTTCTTGCATAAAACACACCTAAAAGTGTAGAAAAAAATTGATAGCCAAATACGAGTAGAGGAAGACACCTTTTACCACCAAAAATCATCCAACCCATAAATCCAAAATCATAAAAAAGTTCCCAAAAAAATTCAATTTTTCTTTGGCAGAATATTTTAATGCAAATTCTTGCACACAATTCTCCTAAAAGTGTAGAAAAAAATTGATAGCCAAATACGAGTAGAGGAAGACACCTTTTAGCACCAAAAAGTCATCCAACACATAAATCTAAAATGATAAAAAAGTTCCCAAAAAAATTCAATCTTTCTTAGGCAGACGATTTTAATGCAAATTCTTGCACAAAATACTGATAAAAGTGTAGAAAAAAATTGAGAGACAAATACGAGTAGAGGAAGCCACCATTTACCACCAAAAAGTCATCCCACCCATAAATCCAAAATCTTAAAAAAGTTCCCAAAAAAATTCAATCTTTCTTTGGCAGACTATTTTAATGCAAATTCTTGCACAAAATACGCATAAAAGTGTAGAAAAAAATTGACAGCCCGATCCGAGTAGAGGAAGACACCTATTACCACCAAAAAGTCATCCAACCCATAAATCCAAAATCATAAAAAAGTTCCCAAAAAAAATGAATTTTTCTTAGGCAGACTATTTTATTGCAATTTCTTGCATAAAACACACCTAAAAGTGTAGAAAAAAATTGACAGCCCGATCCGAGAAGAGGAAGACACCTTTTACCACCAAAAAGTCATGCAACCCATAAATCCAAAATCATAAAAAATTTCCCAAAAAAATTCAATCTTTCTTAGGCAGACTATTTTATAGCAATTTCCTGCACGAAACACACCTAAAAGTGTAGAAAAAAATTGACAGACAAATACGAGTAGAGGAAGACACCTTTTAGCACCAAAAAGTCATCCAACACATAAATCCAAAATCATAAAAAAGTTCCCAAAAAAATTCAATCTTTCTTAGGCAGACTATTTTAATAAAAAATTCTTGCACAAAATACTCCTAAATGTGTAGAAAAAAATTGATAGCCAAATACGAGTAGAGGAAGACACCTTTTACCACCAAAAAGTCATCCAACCCATAAATCCAAAATCATAAAAAAGTTCCCAATAAAATTCAATCTTACTTAGGCAGACGATTTTAATGCAAATTCTTTCACAAAATACTGATAAAAGTGTAGAAAAAAATTGACAGACAAATACGAGTAGAGGAAGACACCTTTTACCACCAAAAAGTCATCCAACCCATAAATCCAAAATCATAAAAAAGTTCCCAAAAAAATTCAATCTTACTTAGGCAGACGATTTTAATGCAAATTCTTGCACACAATAGTGATAAAAGTGTAGAAAAAAATTGACAGACAAATACGAGTAGAGGACGACACCTATTACCACCAAAATGTCATCCAACCCATAAATCCAAAATCATAAAAAAGTTCCCAAAAAAATTCAATCTTTCTTAGGCAGACGATTTTAATGCAAATTCTTGCACAAAATACTCATAAAAGTGTAGAAAAAAATTGACAGACAAATACAAGTAGAGGAAGACACCTTTTAGCACCAAAAAGTCATCCAACCCATAAATCCAAAATCATAAAAAAGTTCCCAAAAAAATTCAATCTTTTTTAGGCAGACTATTTTATAGCAATTTCCTGCACGAAACACACCTAAAAGTGTAGAAAAAAATTGACAGCCCGATCCGAGTAGAGGAAGACACCTATTACCACCAAAAAGTCATCCAACCCATAAATCCAAAATCATAAAAAAGTTCCCAAAAAAATTCAATCTTTCTTAGGCAGACGATTTTAATGCAAATTCTTGCAGAAAATACTCATAAAAGTGTAGAAAAAAATTGACAGACAAATACAAGTAGTGGAAGACACCTTTTAGCACCAAAAAGTCATCCAACCCATAAATCCAAAATCATAAAAAAGTTCCCAAAAAAATTCAATCTTTCTTAGGCAGACGATTTTAATGCAAATTCTTGCAGAAAATACTCATAAAAGTGTAGAAAAAAATTGACAGACAAATACGAGTAGAGGAAGACACCTTTTACCACCAAAAAGTCATCCAACCCATAAATCCAAAATCATAAAAAATTTCCCAAAAAAATTCAATCTTTCTTAGGCAGACTATTTTATAGCAATTTCCTGCACGAAACACACCTAAAAGTGTAGAAAAAAATTGACAGACAAATACGAGTAGAGGAAGACACCTTTTAGCACCAAAAAGTCATCCAACACATAAATCCAAAATCATAAAAAAGTTCCCAAAAAAATTCAATCTTTCTTAGGCAGACTATTTTAATAAAAAATTCTTGCACAAAATACTCTTAAATGTGTAGAAAAAAATTGATAGCCAAATACGAGTAGAGGAAGACACCTATTACCACCAAAAAGTCATCCAACCCATAAATCCAAAATCATAAAAAAGTTCCCAAGAAAATTTAATTTTTCTTAGGCAAACGATTTTAATGCAAATTCTTGCACAAAATACACCTAAAAGTGTAGAAAAAAAATGACAGTCAAATACAAGTAGAGGAAGACACCTGTTACCACCTATAAGGAAACCCGATTCATAAAAAAATTCTCATCTGACGGTGACAGGACGTAACGAATCATAAACTCTTTTATTCAATTGGTAATTATTTAATTTATTTTCGAGGATAAGTTTTTTAAAATTATTTGTTTAAAATATTTGGAGTATGTGAACAGCAAATTTTGTGAAATTATTTTTGCATATTATTAAAAATATTATGTTAGTAATTTGAAAAAATAATATAAATACTGTTTGTGTTTAGAGATCCTAAAGAGATCTCTATTTGTGTGCAATTTATAATTTTGTTTGTTGAGTGTCGAGCGGTCTTCAAAATTCTTTGGAAAGGAGAGACTTTTAATTATTGCCCTACAAAATGGCACTAAACGTGAAAATGATAAACATTAATTTTAAAATACTTTTTTCTCGAAACACGAACACTTTTTACAAAATCGGCTAAAACACCAAGGATCCTTATCTTATAAATTTCCTAAATCCGAAAGATTGTGCGAATCCATGAAGAAACGTGATTGCAAAATGAAAAGTTGGAAAGTAATATAATGAGAAGTTTATTACGTCCTGTCGCCGTCAGATGGCAGAAGCATGCAGGGAGCATACAGTCGCAATTGTTATTATATTACTTTCCTACTTTTCGTTTTACAATCGCGTTTTTGTATGGATTTGAAAAATCTTGCGAATTAGAAAATTTATAAAATAAGGATCCTTGGTATTTTGGCCGATTTTGAAAAAAAGTGTCCTTGTTTCGAGAAAAAAGTATTTTAAAAGCAATGTTTATCATTTTCTCTTTCAGTGCTGTTTTTATATGAAGATAACTTTTCACGTGTATGTACAATTTGCTAAATTAAATTAAAGTAATAATAATAATAATAATAATAATAATATATAAATGTTTTTTAATTTAATCAAAATTTGGAATATTTGTTTCCTTTTTTTAAACAGGTACGATCGAAAGGAGACACTTTTTTGTACTGACAATTTCTGAATTTGAAGATGATGTTATGATTACTATTTTTAGTAAAATTGTTCTTTGGCACTTGGATACAAGGTAAGATTAAATTTTTTTACTTCTAATCAGAAAGACTATTTTTAGAAATTTTTACGTCTTTAATACTTTCCTATATAAAGCAAGAAATCATTACTCCCAGGTATTTAAAATCGAATTAAATTTTTTAAAAAAATTCAGTTAAATAAATATTTGATTTTCTAAAATTTAATTTACTGAAAATGGTTTTTAAATGATATTAATCTCCATAAAATGAAAATAGACAAAGAAAATGTTAAATAAAAAATAGAAAAAAAAATATTAAGATGTTTGTTATGTTCTTATTGATCGTTTTTGATAATATAAACAAAGGAGGACTTTAATATTATTAGAAAAAAAAATTTTCGAACAAAATTTTAATCATTTGTTTTTTAGAGGATTCAGTAAAGAATTCGATCCGTGCATCAATCAAATTGTACTTTCGACTTTGGATATTTATAAACAGACAAAATTCGAAAAATAACGTTTATTAACAAAAAAGAGACGACATAACCTAAAAATTACATACTTACAACGCGATTACAATAAAAGAACGACGTAAACGATTTTACAATAAGAATATACGACGAGAAAAATTTATATACAAAACGATCAAAAAAAATACGGATTACATTATACTCTATGTTACGTTCCCTATGTCGGAGGAACGGAAGCGAAGACGAACAACTACGCCAGGGGTTACGTACAAAACGGGAACTACGACATACTTTGCGGTCGGTAACATTTTATCGACATGGGGTACATACTTTTATCGAGAGGCAAATATTTACTACAAATATTTACCCGCGAATTTTCTAACAATCTTTACAAAGGATCGTTGTCAAATGAGGCGTTTCATATGACAACGACATATGATGTCTCAGATTTTCCTTAACTTTTCGGTTTTGAGGGACATTTTGGTGTTAAATAAGTATGTAAAATTTGAATTAAATTTTTTAAATATTTTTAAAGATATTTGCATTAAAAAATTGTTGTAAAATTTTTTTCTTTTTCTTATAACTTTTGTTCTTTTGATCCTACAAAAAAAAAGTTCTAAATGTTTTTTACTCTAAAAATATTAAAATTTATGAAAAAAATTATAGCAATAAAAAATGATTAAATTTCAATTAATTTATTTAAAAAATAAAATTTAATTTTACGTTTTAAACATATTCTCCCTGTTTGTCAACCCTGAAAAAAATCATGAATGAAGTTGATAATGTAATGAAGACTTCCTGAAATTTTAAGCTTGGCGTTATTTTTTGTTTTCGAGATAAAAATCTTTAAACATTGAAATGTAGGGGTTGAGCGCGCAAAATAATCATTGTACAGGGGCCAAAAGTTAAGGAAAATCTAAGACATCATATATCGTTCTCATATTAAACGCCTCAAATGTAGAGTCACATGAAAGGTGGTCCCTAATAATAGGCAACCAGCAATACTTAAAGGAAAGTGTTTCTGACATCCTGCACGATAGGCAACCCAAATACACCTGAGTAGATTTAATTGGTGTACTAGATGATAACCAAATTTTTTTAAATAGAATTTTTATTAAAGCCTAATTTTTATTTAACCAAATTATTATTTAATTAAATTTTCGCTAAACCAAATATTTATTTAGCCAAATTCAAGTAATTCACTCATTTTTTAAAGGTACTAAGATTTTTTTTTATTAAAGTTGAGAAAGTGTAGATTTATGTCATTTTTGAAATTTTTTCCTAAACATATGGGAAATAGTTTAAATATACTTTTGTTTATTAAATAAACAATTTTTTTTTCGTTCGAAGCATCGACAAATGGTACGTCAGCTAAAAAACTGACTGCACTAATTTTCGAGTCAGTACCACGAACAATGGATCTGAGATAAAATATGGAACCAGATACAGATGATTTACTTTTAAAAAATATAAAAGATTTCTTTTAACAAATATATTTATAAAGAAAATTATTACAGTTCTTCTAGATTGGTATAATAATAATTTAATACAAAAAAAGTAGTTAGAAATACATTCAATTTGTTTTTTAAAATTCGACTCCTGTCAACTTAATTTATTATTATTATTATCATTCAATATAATTTCTACCTTAACAAATATGATAAGAATAAGTTAATAAAAATTTCTAAAAGATGTCGCCTAATTACCATTTTCAATTCTATTCGTAAAATAATATTTGAAAAATTATAATTTCCAAATATTTAAAAGTCGAAACGATTTTTCAATTTTATTACCTTTATACCTGTGCGAGTACCTGCGAAACCCGAGATTTGTTTATATTGAAGTTTACATAGTACAATTCTTAAATTAATGGTCATAACAATGAGAACAGAAAATCTCAAAGATAATTAAATCAATTTTACAACTCGTGGATTGACCTCCCCCACAACATCGAAACTTTTCCAAAGATTTATTTGAAATGTTCGGAATATTTTTAATTGCAAAATTTAGTGAAAATTACCTAAAGATTAGAATGTCCCTATTAAATAAATGTTTACTGTGAAGCTTTACTGAACTTTTATTCAAGAGGGACATTTAAATCTTTATACAATTTTCACTAAACATTGCAATTAAATATTTCTAACATTTCAAATAAATCTTTAGGAAAGTTTCGGTGCTATGGGGGCTGTTTATATTTTGTTAGAAGATTGCTTAAATTTTAATATGACTGCTTTACGATATTAATCATTTTCTAAAATATAAAATTTATTCTCTAGTACATGACAACGAATTCTTTTACTATTAATGAGTTTTTCCACAAAATTTTTATCTCGATCTAAGCTTAGAAATATATTTTTATATAATAATTAAAGGCAATTGTTTTCCTACAAAAATTTTTTAAAAATATTATGCATTAATTTATTTTTATAAGAAGGTTTATTAATATTATTTTAAAAATTAAATACTATGGAAAAACTTATTTTTTCTAAATAAAAATAATAATTGCAAAAATTATATTAGTTTTATACATTTTTAAAATTTCAAAAATAAAAATAATATTCTTGAAATAATATTTGAAAAATTATAATTTCCAAGTATTTGTTTGTTAAAACAATTTTTCAATTTTATTACCTTGATACCTGTGCGACCCAAGATTTGTTTACATTTAAGTAGAAAGGACAAATCTTAAATTGATGGTCATAACAATGGGGATAGAAAAATCCAAAAATAATTAAATCAATTTTGTAATATATATTAGAAATATATTTTTATATATAATAATTAAAAGCAATTATTTTCCTACTAAAAATTTAAAAAATATTAATGCATTAGTTTATTTTTATAAGAAGGTTTATTAATATTATTTTAAAAATTAAATACTATGGAAAAACTTATTTTTTCTAAATAATAATAATAATAATTGCAAAAATTATATTAGTTATATCCATTTTGAAAATTTCAAAATTAAAAATATTCGTGAAATAATATTTGAAAAATTATAATTTCCAAGTATTTGTTTGTGGAAACAATTTTTCAATTTTATTAGCTTGATACCTGTGCGACCCAAGATTTGTTTACATTAAAATAGAATGGACAAATCGTAAATTGATGGTCACAACAATGGGGATAGAAAATTCCAAAGATAATTAAATCAATTTTGTACGATTATTATAAGAAAAATTTGGATTTTCGGAATATATTGAAATTTTTTTAAATCTAGTGTTCCCTAAATGTATATTGAACAAACAAAAAAATACATTCGTTAAATTTTGGTGCAGCAGCTGTCCCAAACAAAAAATTTCTACTTTTATTTAATTTCACTTATATAGAAACTGAAGGTAAATATTAAGTATGAAGTTATAATTAAATATAGAAATTTTTTGTTTGGGGCAGCTTCTACACCAACATTTTTTCAGTGTATGTTTTAAAAATTTATTTTTTTTACTTGTACATTTTTAAATAATATGCCCTATA